GTGCCATTCCACATTATTACAAATAACTTCATTTCTGGACATTTATGGTTTGATTTCTTTGTATGTATGGATCACTTGAGTTGTTACCAACATCTGGTGAAAATTTCATGTCATTAGCACCTCTAGTAATATATTTACTGAGAAAAATGTTAATGTGTTCAATACTTATTTTACCCGCTGCATATAGAAAACCCCCAAGCCCCCCCCTCCAATACCTTTATATTAACCGTAGCCAAGAAGTCTCTTATAATAAATGTCTACAGTTCTGAACTACTGATTTAGTCATGTGAACAGTAAGTAGTCTGTCTGATGGTTAATCCTTATTTAGTGTTTTTGGCAGCCGACTGAGCTTTGTGGATTTGCGTCACGTGTTTTTGAAGGAAAATGTTAAGATTAAGAAGATCAAATCCAGGTCCTAAACCTCGCAGGCTCCATCCCTGAAATGGCAGCTCAGGTTCCCTTTATAATCTGAGGATCGCACAGTTATGCACTGCAGAAGCAGATCTGTCAAGGTCCCTCATGTTGTACATGTAAAGCAGAGAGATCAGGCAACAACATCTAATGAGTTACTTCTAGTTTTATTCTTCTACTGTTCTCAGATCCACCATGACTGTTCAGAGACTGTCCCTGCAGGAATCTGGGACATGGTAGAAACTAACCAAATAATAATAATAATAATAATAATAATAATAATAAATTGTATATTTTTCTTAAATAGATTCACACTTCTGGATCCAAAACAAATTTTAACAGATAACCTCTAATAATACCTCGTGCAAATGTCTCACACCTGAATGAAAGTACTTTAAAAAGAGTTTGTAGAAAATGCACTTCACAGCCTTCAAGAAGAATAAATAAATAAAAGAAATCTGAGGCTCTTCGAAGTTGTTTTTCTCATTTAACATAAATGGCTTTAAGAATGGAAAGGTTCTTCCCCATAACGCTCTGAGAACCACAAATAAACCTGGAGTTTGAGAGCAAAGTGCTCTATTGTAATTATGTGGAAATGATATATGGATCAGATCTTTCTGCATCATTTTGGAACAGGATATTTTTAATTTTAATAAAACTTCAGCCCTGTAACATTTTTAATATGTGCTAAAGGACATATCCTGATCAAAAATAACCACTGTTTTTATATTTATGATGGAGGCCAACTGTAACAGCACAGACGCTACAGATGAATTACCATCTAATTTTACTAAATATAATTTTGTTGTAATAGTCGTGTTTAAGAGCAAAATAAATTTATGTTTGACTTTTGTTGATTTTTCTCTGTTGGAGTTCTGCGAGTGCTCAGCAGAGGGTGCAGAGATGATTCACAACAGGTCACATGTTGAGGAGATAATGGAATTGTGTCAGAATATTTAATTATCGTGCACATAAAAAGAGCATCACATCTTCTCTGCGTTCACAAGAAACAGTCAGGATACCGCTTCCACCCAAAATAACATTTAGCTTCTTTTTTATTTATTATTTTTTWAATTTTACCTCATGCAAAGATGCCGTCTAAAGCTGACAACAAAGTTTACCTACAGCCAAAGATTGAGAAGATACAGGAGAAGAGAGTTAAATCAGTTACACTTTATAGTYATAAAAAGGTGAGTGCACATTCATTAGCTTTTGTTCAAACTTTATTCCATCACTGTCRAAGTTTTTTCTTACCAAACAGACATAAAAATGATCGAACTACTTGAACTTGAACAGATGAACATCTTTAAAATCTTCAGAAGTAACAAGATTATCCAGCTTTTTCTTTAAAACGTTGGATTATGGTCCATCTTGTAATTATATTATAGGTGTCGAGGTTGAAAATCTAAAATGCATGGAAAAAAAGTGGACAGATATACTGTGTTTCCACTTTTGTATATTTCTGTAAAACCTGATTTTGAAATCTAAMAATTAGATGATCTGCGGCGCAGGTTTCAGATTTGAGTTGGTCTCCTCTGAGCATCCTCAGCCTGGACCCGCCTGTTTTCTCATGTAACTTCATCAGCTCAGCTCTGACATCACTGAACTCACTGATACAGAGCTGGACGTCTGCCAGCCTCCCACTGCAGAGGCTGCTCCCTCTGTCCTGCTGCTGAGCCCCCGCTGATCAGCACAGCTTCCCGACTCCGTCCAGGATGAATGAAGCCGAGTGTGTTTCACGAGGATTTCATAACCCGGTCATGAACGTGGCTGCTAATCAACTCTCCATCTTCCCTTCGTTCCAGGGTAAAAACTCTGCTCTGTGGATCAAGGCGAACATCAAGAAGAAGGAATGTGTGTTTTTTCAGAGGGATGCCAGGTAGGCTGTGTACTTGTGCATATTTATGTACTTGTGTGGCGGCATTTAAACTGGTGTTGAGGTTACCCCACAGTGTCCCAGTGAAGCTGTGAGGAAACTGATGAGTCATGCAGAATATTTGGCTTTTCTGCAGTGTCACTGTGTGAACTAACTTACAGCTGCATGGAATATATTTGTACTTTAAAACTTGCACAAAAACACATAAAAACACTTTTTTATCTTTGCTTTCTGATGTTTTTTAATGGCTGATCCTGCAGATAAATTAAGTTAGATCCTGATTATTTTTTATTTATTTATTTATTTATTTTTGAAGAACAAAATTAAGTGAAAACGACTTCATGAATGCAGTTTAACTCAGTGAGTTTGGTCAGAAATACCAACTGTGAACGTCAAAGCAAAATTTGGAAGATTTCCATACAAATCTGCAAATCTACTCATCACAAGTGTGGGTAACGCTTTCTTTTATGGTGCCCTTATTACCATGTAATTACAAGGTAATTAAAAAATGTAATTAAATGGTAATTACTACRTTATTACCATGTAATTACGTGGTAATTGGGGGTACAAAAGAAAAACTACTGTTAGTAAAACTACCTTTATTGGGTAACTACARTCAAATTRCTATTCAATAGTAACTCAACACTATATTCATAACCAAAAGAATGCGAATAAATTTTGGGGTTGGTGGTTAATTGCAATAAAACATAAGTTTAAAATTGTCCAAATTACCCACTACTAATTTAGGTGTTACATAGTGAATTGTAATACATTACAAGGTAAGTGCTACATTACTGCAGACAATTAATTACATAGTAAAATTGTACCATAATTACCACGTAATTACATGGTAATAAGGTAGTAATTACATTTAATTACTTTTTATTACCTTGTAATTACATGGTAGTAAGGGTACCATAAAAGAAAGCCAAATGTGACCTTTTCATGTCTAAAGAGCGCCTTAAATAAAACACTTCCTGTTTTCATTTGTGTCCCTTCGTTAGAGACGATACGTGTAAGTGTGGCTACTTGAAGACTGAGCACACAGATGAAGCCATCAAGCCAGATGACTTCACTGGGGAGACGTGGGACAGACACAGACATGTCCATGAAGTGCCCACCGATGCTTTTGGAGACATTAACTTTGGCGGTTTGGGACAAAAGCTTAGCAAAGTGACGTATTCATTGCTTTACACTCTAGTATGATTACTGCTGAAATGTTTGTCCTCAACCTGGTGTTTGTGTGTCCAGTATGCTCGAGTGTCCACAGACACCAGCCCCGAAGACCTGTACCGCTTACTGACCGTACAGTGGAAACTTTCACCCCCCAACCTGCTCATCTCAGTGTCCGGAGGAGCCAAAAACTTTCACCTGAAGACTCGACTGAAGAGTGTTTTCCACAGAGGACTTATTAAAATGGCCCAGACTACAGGTCAGCCYGAAACTAAAACATATGAGCCATGACGTCTGCGAACCATTATTCATGCCAAACACTTTTGCAGACATAAAACAATAATCCAGAACAACCAACTGGGCTCTGGTCGCCTAATTGGTAATTCAGTTCATTAAACTACACACAGAGCAGGGGCRGTYATAGGGGCGGGGCCACRGGGGCATTGGCCCCAGCTGAAATCTGATTGCCCCCCTGAAGTGTCCCTGTCCTGTCACTCATCTGTYCTTTACCTGGCAGTGATGATGGTGGATGCAGGATGCAAACACTGGCTGCGCTAACGAGTCAAATAGTAAAGTCCAGAATGAATCAAAYTTACAGAATTCTTCTTCTCTTCTTAAGAAAATTTAAACTATCTTGCAAAAAAAAAGTATTTCAACTGACCAATGATGGCTGGATTTTCTCACATGTGTGTTTGAGAATATTTTATCTATGTACAGTAAAGTGTATGAAAAACTGGTGAGGAGAATTTAGCTTTTTTTGGTACCACTTTACAACAAAGCTCCCCTTATAGATGACTTATATAGAGTTTATAGATAGGTTATAATCTGTAAACACTTTATAAATCATTAATAAATGTTTATTATGCAATAATTAAGGATGAGAAAGACAAAAGGGTCCAGTTTCTTACCAAATAACGAGACAAATTTGTTCATCTACAAATCACATCTAAAGGCGCTTATTAAACATTTCAGACTAGGTTACATTTTAAAACCGTGGAGAAGCACGTCACCGTGGAGAGCCGTTAACCAATATGCCACTATGCCACTGCTCTACCCATATGAGCAGCAAAAAGACGTTTTTAGACCAAATGTTACAGATGCTTTGTACCAGCAAGCGTTTAGGCAGCTCCACATGGCAACAACAGGAGATTTGAGGATCTTTCAGAAATGCCTGAATGAGTCAAAGCATCACTCTGGGTATGTTTTTGATGAGGGGACTTTATGACATAATATAAAGCTCAAAAATGTTGATTTTACATAATATCCCCCCTTTAAAGCAAGGTAAAACAATAGCCTTGAACAGAAAGCCTACTAAGACATGGGCATAATGTAGCAGTGATTTCAGGGATGCTGTATCGTTTGCAGGTGCGTGGATCATCACAGGTGGTACCAACACAGGCGTGATGAAGCATGTGGGGCAGGCTGTGAGGGATCACGCCCTGAGCAGCTCCGTGCAGGAAAACAAGATAGTGGCCATCGGAGTGGCAACATGGGGAATAATTCACAACAGGAAGGCTTTAGAGAATAAAGACGTACGACAAACACGTTCTTCACATCCACACACGTTTATCAGCTGGACCGAGTTCACGTTTGTTTTTGTCTGTTTTTCTGCAGGGCTGTTTCCCTGCTCAGTATGTGATGGACACCAAGGGTCAGGGCCGGCTGTCCTGCCTCGACAGCAATCACACCCACTTCCTGCTGGTTGATGATGGGACACACGGACGCTATGGAGTGGAGATCGAATTGCGCACTCGTTTAGAGAAATACATCTCCGGGAAGCATCTTGGAGACAAAGGTTGAAAGCAGCCGATGTCAGCAAGCTTTTAACGACTGCATCTCAAAAGCTGATTTGATTTTCCTGCAAAAATGCAGTGTGTATGCTTCATGCTGAAAGACTTGCTGAGTTGCTAAAAAAAGGCTGAAACTAGCCTAAACTAGCTTCAAAAAGTAGCTGAAATAGTTGAAGTCAGCACAAAGAAACAGAGAGGCCACATATAAGCTAAATTAAGCAGTAAGAAGCTGAATTTATCACCGAAAGAGGAATTTGTCTGAGTAAAAGTTCAAATCAGCTAAAAAGTAGCAAAAATACTTAAAATAGCTGAATTTAACAGAAAATCGCTAAAAGAAGCATAAAAAGCCTGAAATATCAGAAAGAAGCTGAAGCACAAAAAAAGTTGGGGCGGCTGTGGTGTAGTGGTAGAGCAGCTGGCTTGGAACCCGAAAGTCTTAGGTTCGACTCCCCGCCATACCCACATGTCGTGGTGTCCTTGAGCAAGACACCTAACCCTAACTGCTCCCCGGGCACCTCACATGGCTGCTCGCTGCTCCACTTGGGTGTGGATGGGTTAAATGCAGAGCATAAATTTTGTCATTGTGTGGAAACATACACTGATGACAAATAAAGTACCTTTACTTTACCTTTTTTTTAAAGTTTAAATTAGCAGAATGATAGCAGAAATGGTCAGAATKGTGGCTAAAAAACAGAAAAAAAGCTAAAATCATCTAAATGGAAGCCAAAGCCAAAGGAAGCTGAAATTAGCACAGAGATAAAGGAGAACAAAAGGTTAAAAGTAGTTTACATTTATGAACATTTTAAAGGATTTTAAAGCTATTGAAGACCACCCCACTCATTTAGAAAAACAGGCTGAAAAAGTTAAATATCTCATCAAAGCAAGAATGTCCTGAAGGAGCCGAAGGTTTTGATGGGCAGACCGGGGACAGTTGCAACACTTTTTGCATTTGACTCTGTTACTCAGAGATGGTTTGAATTAGACAAACCAAATGTTAATACAGTAAACTTACATCTGTCTGTTCATAGTCAAAACCATTTATAGATGATTAAAGCATGTACTTTCTTCACAATTTGCATTTGAAAATGAAAAGTCAGATGTATCAACTGACCCCGGGGCTGGGGACAGTTGCAACATTGTTTGGGGTGGTTGCAACATATTATTAATACAATATATTTCACTGTAAATAAATGTTTTATTGTTTTTATATTTATATTATTGCTAAATTAATAAAAACTGTAAGTTATAATGATATTACAGTGTTATTTATTTATTCTTTTTGATCAAATGACAAATATAGATTTGCCTTGATGAGTAGACCTTATATACAGATGTCAAAGACTCTAATTGATATAAAATACAGTTGGCTTTTAGAAACAAGAATAAGAGAACAATTTGTGAGACAATTAACTTTTGTTTTGCCTATTGTCACTGCATGCTACATTATGCAAAATTTACATTGAAAGAAACTGGGATTTTAAAACCATTGTTGAAAACAACTGCAGAAAATACATCTTATTTATGTTTTAAACTATAAAATTGTCATGAAAACCTAATACCCTTTTAAGTGTAAACTTAATTTCAACATTTTAATATCATCTGTATGTGCTCTGTTTTTATATGGATTTATCATAGTTGCCCCCTTCCTGTCATCCATGATAAAACCTCATGTGTTAGCTAAATGAGCTGATCTGAATACATGTTAACCATATTAGTTAAAATTCAACATATCACTGGTTTAAACCATATAAGTTTGAGCTGGATCACTTAAACAGTGACAACAGTATAACAAAAATAAAGCCGGGCAAACAAAAAACAAAAAACTTTGATACCTCAAAAACAGTTTTTTATTTTTCAAATAGTTTATGCAGTTTATGAATCTGCTTGCTTTTTCTTTGCAAGGTGGGGCATCTAACTGATCATGCACAGTGTGTCATCACTCTAGCTTGTTTCTGTTTGGAGAACAATGACGTGTTGCAACCGTCCCTTGTTGCTACTGTCCCCGGTATCCCCTAAATTGTAAAAGTAGCACAAAGATTACAAAACGAGATACGAGCCGACAAACGTACAAAAGAAAAACTGACCTGAACAATGTGAATGCGTTATAACTGTTCACAYGATGATTTTTATTCAGCCTGTTTTGACTGTTTCCCTTCCAGACAGCAGGGTCAACATCCCAGTGGTTTGTGTCGTTCTGGATGGAGGACCAGGCACCCTGAATGTGAGTCAGCAGTTTGTCTCTTGTTTCCATCCTGGTGAGTTCTCACACGAGACCATCCGTGTCTCTCCTCAGACCATCTACAACGCCATGCTGAACGGAACCCCGTGCGTGGTGTTTGAGGGCTCCGGGCGGATAGCGGATGTCATTTCCTGCGTGTCAGAACTTCCTGTTAGCTTGGTCACCCTCAGCCTCATCCGCCAGCTGATGAAAAAGAGTTTTGGTCAGGAGTGCGAGCGYTTCTCTGACCTTGACATCATTGAGTGGACTAAAAAGGTTTGTTGTTCCAACACTAATGAACTCATTCACATGAAAGAAATGTWGAGATTGTCATGAAGTGGTGAGCTTTTTAATCAAGTTGTGGTTTTCTCTGAAATCACAAATGAGATTGAAAAAAAAGAGAAAAACCTGACAGGAATGGGTTTCAATGAGCATCCATCACTAAAATCTGACTTTGCTTTTCGTTCATAGATCCAAGACATTATCCGAATGTCTGATCTGCTGACAGTTTTCAGAGTAAATGAAGGCAGTTATGAGGATGTGGACATGGCCATCCTTCAGGCCCTTCTTAAAGGTAACTAGAGATGTTTGGTCTGAATACATCGCATCATTAAAATGGAAAGGCTTGATAGAAAACAGCTTCTTTGAAAAACCACATGAGCTATTAAAGTTGCTATGCATGATACTTTAATGGACACTGGTTCTTAATGGATAGCTTCCAGGAACTTCCTCCAAACTGATTCTGACTCATCAAATCCAATTTAGACCATCCCTTATGCTTGGTGTGTACAAAACCCATGTGCACTAAAAAAATGTGAGTCCACCTCATTCTATTTTCACCTAATGTATTTTCTGATGACTATATCTAAAAGACTTTTATTTGAGTTTCCATCACTGAGGTGAAAAGAAGTAAAGTGGTTAAATTATATTATCAGAGAAATGTTCTACTTTAGAAAACTTCTCCTCATAAAAACGTTAAATGAAGCCTGTTTTTGTTTCCTGTAACTAAAACATTTTTATTGCTTTTGTGAACAAATGGGAAGAAAATATAATGATAAAACCTTATTTGCTGGAAAAATTGGAGTAAGATTTTTCTCTTAAATGTCGAGTTTGTTTGCAACTAAATTTATATTTTTATGTGTTTGCTGGATAAACACAAGACTTATTAAGCCATGAAATAAAAAAGAGGAATATTTACCACGATCAGTGTTCCAATTAAACATATACACTGCAAAAACTGTCCATCTAACCAAGCTTTAAAATCTTATATCCAACCAAAAAGTCTTTTTGATCTTGTTTTGAGACTGATTTACTAAACAAGAACTGATTGTGTAAAAATAATGATCTTGTTTTCAGAATGTGTAAGATTATTTGTCTTGTTAGTCTGAAGATTTGACTCAAATTAAGTCAAAAATTTCTGCCAATGGAGTAAGAAAATTTTACTTGGTAAGATTCTTGAAATACTTGATTTGACTCAATTTTTTTTCATATTTCAAGAATC